AGTACAATGTTATCATAGCGGCGTCTGGAGATAACTACACGAGTCAACAGCTGCTCTTTGGACTCCCAGGGCTGAAGTCCAGGTGGATGAGTGTCCTGAGTCCACGTGACGGTGAGTGGGGCGAGTGTAGGGAAGACTCATGTGGAATTTCGATTACTCCACAGTGAAACATTCATGCTCACCAAGGTGTCTTATGGGTGTAAACGTGCAAGTTGGCACTCAACACTGTACCTGAAGGGCCACGAGGACACGAGACCACGAGGCCACGAGGACACGAGGCCACGAAGGGTGGAGGGGAGACAGGTGTATGGCTGTTCTGCTACTTACATTTTAATCCTCATAACTTGTTCACCAACAGATACGACGATAACAGTAAGAATGACTAACAGTAAGAGAGGGGACAATATCAACGCTATAAGTAATAATCATAATAAAGAGGAAGAAAAACATTACAATGAAATGTGAAAGACGAAAGGAAATAAAAGCTGTAGAACAATTATATTTGTTGTTAAAAGTGTCGTAAGTGTAGTTGTAACTGTTGTTGTTGTTGTTGTTGTTGTATTATTATTGCCATGTCGACCACTTTTATTATTCTTACATACGAAAATGTAATGAAATTACACAACAAGTTCAATATAAACAAGGTTTCAAACACTGAAAGCTAACAGTGGAAGCCTAAATTCGCAGCAGCAGCTTTACTATATATACGTCGTGCCGAATAGGTAAAACTGGTCAATTAGCAAGAACTCGTTTAAAATTAACTCCTTTCAAATTTTTTCTCTTATACGTTTAAAGAGATTTTTTCATTAATTTTAATGTAAAAATTAATAATTTTGTACCAAAAGAACCTTAGAAAATTTACCTAACCTTATTATAACAAGCGCAATTTAATTTAGCCTAATCCAACCAAACATATTTTAGAATAATTTACAATAATTTAATAAACAGACACAATGAAATTTATTTTTTTCGTTAGGTTCAGAATGATATTTGCGAAATTATTGCATACAAAAATTTTAGCTTGCCTTATTCGGCAAGAAGAGCGTTGCTATTTAAGCCAAAATCGCAAGTTTTACCTATTCGGCATGATGGTCATCGATACCATGCCTAACCCTTCTAGGGTAGGGTAGGTGCCTGAGCCCGAGCCTTTAGCTCATGAGACTGTCATTCCCATTTGCCCCCTTGGGGCGGGGATGGCAGACCAGAGAAGCCTAGCTTGCGGCTAGGCCTGGGGACAGTTGGTCCCAAAGATGAGGTACTTGTGCCTCCTCCCATGGGAGACTTCGGTCTCAGACACTCCCTAAAGAGGGAGCCAAGGCCGGGCCACCACTTGGAAAAGGCCCGGGCCGGGAGAATACCGGCGAATCTTTACTACTACTTCGGCATGATATAGATTATATATTGGGGATTTTCTTTCTTTTTGGGTCACCCTGCTTCGGTGGGAGACGGCCGACTTGTTAAAAATATATATATATATATATATATATATATATATATATATATATATATATATATATATATATATATATATATATATATATATATATTATATAAAGTATTTTACTTACTCATATTAAGTTTATCATAAGTTCATGAAGTTCATTTAGATAAGGGATCACGTTGCTGGCAGTCGATCTGGCACTGTCGAGAAGAAATGTTACGAATGAAGCAGTGTGACGACTATATTTACCGACGATGTTTTGCTACTCTAATGTGACATCTTGGTTCCACGCAGGGGCGGTTCCAGTAGTTTTACGTAGAAAAGACCCGGGGATCACTGATTGGAAGAAGGGGGGGGGGGGCTGGGAGACTTGTACTGAAGCTGTGTTTTTATGTTATTGGCGGGGGGGGGGGGAACTTCAATCCTCCTCAACCCCCCTTTTGCGCCGACCCTGTTTCATTGATATGGATTTTTATTATTATTATTATTATTATTATTATTATTATTATATTCGACCCTTCAAGGGGGAAGGGGTCCCGTCATGCTGAAGGACTCTTGATCAAAGTAATTTAAAATATCTTTTATTCCCCAGGTGCTCAATGTCCATTAGACGTTATCTCTTTCCTATGAATGTAATAAAATAATGAGGCAGTCAAATGAATATTACTTAAGCCTTGAATTGCTCATGACCAAATAGTGAGATTTTATCTGAACTGAGAAAGATTCATTCTTTCCCGAGTTGGTAATCTTCACCGAATGGTTTATTATATAATAATAACTCAAGCTGAAGGAAGAATTGCAATGCTGTGCGAACATAATCACACTGAGGTGGTTTACAACGTGATGGTGACAACTCTTCTACCTCACCATCGCTGACTGTCACTGTCCACTACAAAAATCGGTTAGACATTTGTAGTGGTCTTGAAGAAGATACAAGTGCGACACCTGAGTATCTTTACAAACGATCCTTTACGATACCCAGGTGTTGCACATGTCATATTTATTAACTTAATGGTATTGCATGCCAGTAATGTAATGATACTGGCGGTGGCTTGTCCGTCAGGAAAATACTATGAGAACGCAGGTGTTAGTCATGCTAGCTCAACCGCTCCGCCACCGCCAGCTTACCAGCATTAAGCCTCTAGTAGCTCCATTGTAACATATTGCGTCCTGCTTCTACACACCTCTCGATGTATTCTTATATGCAGCCATGATCATCATTTGTTTTGTTTTAAATAGTTGTATAAAGCCTAACTCCGGTAGGTCTGATGATGCCTAGTTCATCAGCGGATGGGTCATCATTTGACAAACACCCCTGTCAGGAAATACTGCCCTGTTACCTGACCAGCAAAACAACACTACCGTCTCTGAGTGTATCTATCTTTCCCCTGCGATAAATAAAGCAAAAGGGCTATAAGATTTTTTTTTTTTTTTTGCTTAGGTATGCACGTCCCGGTCTTGTGGAGTTATTAAGGCGACTTCCTGTGTGTTGAGAAGACAGGTCATTAAAGAGACGGTCGCGCCCTCCTATTACCTTCCCCACCGCCAGTTCCCGGTCCCATGTCGCCCATCGCGAGGGGCAAGGCGCTTTGTAATGCTCCGTAATTGACCAATGTTAAGCCAGAAATGCCCCTTTTAAGCCAATTTAACCGGCTATGGGAGTGTGCGTGTGTGTAATATATTTAACATTTTTATTTAAGCGTGAGGAAAGGCTGTTAAGTTATTAAGAGATGGTTAGTCATACATATTTAGGCTTTACCACCGACTGTTGGACGTCGTAGATGTGAACGGTCAAGGGAGCGAGACACTACCATAGTGACCAAACTGTAATGTTTACATATTCCTAATAAGTATTCCTGCTGCATTTGTTATTCTCATCCGCCTAACACGATGAAGTGACTGTCTTTTGTGGAACACATCGGTAGAAACACACCTTTACTTCTGCATTACTTCCCCGTCCCCCCACCAAATCATAAGAGTACAAGGGGAAGGTAGACTTCAGAAGACCTTAAAGTCTTTATTGAGGCTCTGCCTTCAAAGAGGTGCCCTTATGCTGGTGAAATCCTCTTGATCCAAGAATTTGGATCCATCCTTCCGGCCAAACCAGATTGCTTCCTATTCTCCAGGCGTTGTAAGACACCTACGGATTTAACGCTTCCGCTTTATAATAATGAGGAGAAGAAAAAGAGAATTATTAATTGTGAGTTTTTAATCACAATTTGTAGGTTGTGAAGTTCTTCTCAAACACATCTCTCCTACCCCTCCAGTTCTCAGCGATATTAGAAGCGGGTATGACGTTATGGTGTCAGTTGGTTATATTTACAGTCTATCACTGCACGAGAGACATTAGGGCCGAAATTCTCCCCTATACTAAGTATACAGTAATCCCTTAAATCTGGATTGAAGTAAATTCTCAGAATGAATACACTAAGAGATTACTTCTGGGTGTGTATACACCAAGAGTACACATCTCTCGGTGTATATACACCAAGAGTACACATCTCTGTATATATGCATTACCTAAAGCTAGGGAGGTAAGACAGACAACCGGCCGGCTGTCTCTCACCTATACATACTGTATACACACCTCTTGGCCATCCTCCCTCCTAGCACCGGAAGGATGCGGATAGATGGAGAAGGGCGACAATGGGATGGACGAATGGAGGAGAGCGAGAAACAGTGGGATAGACGAACAAGGAAAAGCAATGGGAAAGATGCGAGGATTGAGCACGACAGCGGGATAGACAGAGGAGAGCGACAGCGGGATAGACGGAGAGAAACACTGGTATAGGCGAACGTAGGAGGGAGAGAAACAATGGAACAGACGGAAAGAAGAGAAACAGTGGGATTGATGGACAGAGAAAGTGAGACAAACAGGAAAGAGAAACAGGGGATAGAGGACGAAGAGAAACAATGGGAGGGGAGAAAAACGGGGAACTGACAGACGAAGAGAAACAGTGAGAGAGGAGAGAGACAGGAAGATAGATGGACAGAGAGAGAGAGACAGACGGGCGAAGAAGAGAAAAACGGTGGGACAACAGAAGAACGGAGGAGAGAGAACGACAAAAGTTAATCAGCGGACGGAACTGTCAAATAAGTAAACTAAATTAGTGCAGATCTGGTCTTGTCATCACTGAGTTACACTAATGTCAGGATCGCGTCCCTGATGAGCCCTTATAAACAAGATTTATCCACGGCAAATTTATAAATGTTTTTGAGGGGGCTAATTCAAATGTTTACACTCTAAGCTAAACACAAGATTACTACAAAAATTCAGCTTACGATAACCCGAAGTCAAATAAGTTTAACAATCTAACCCATAAAGTTACAAGTTATGTACTAACAAGAGGGTCAACGGAGTGGTATATGTATTTGCTAACAGTTCTTAGAATCGTCGTCCCTGCGGCTCGGTCTCAGACAAGCTTCCCTTAAATTAAAAAGAAAATACTAATGGGATAAGAACTTTTGAGAACCGCACAGGAAGGGTAACCTGTCGAATTATAAACTAAAGTTAGTAAAGTAAGAATGTCAGGGTGGTATTTTTACCCTGTTTACGTACCGTCTCTGGGTGGCGAGGGGCACTGGACTGGGGCATAGGGTCCCATGTGGTAACCATAGGAGCCCTGGGGGTACATGGGAGGGAAGCCATAGCCTGGAGCATTGTACTGAGCGGTCTGTTGGTAGCCGAGGGGCTGGCCGTATGGTGGCGTGGTCATCGTCATGGTCTTGTGGAGGCCCACTGGTGAGGATCGTGGCGGTGGTGGCAGGCAGAGTTGGGCGTTCTAGCCCTTACCCCGCCATCCGGAGGCCCTGGTGGGTCCTGGCGTCACTGCTGGCACTGGATATGGAGTACAGAAGCAAGACTCAAGTTACTAAGGGTTCACTAGCACTGTCCTCACTAACACAGCCCAGAGTTTAGCCCTGACATGGTGCAGCAGCCTACAAGTACAATAAAAATGTCATGGGGTGTAGTGGTGACGGGTCCCATGTGGGGTCAGGCGGGTACGGGCGGGGCAGCAGCGGCGGCCATGTGGGCGCGGGTGGCGGGGGTAGACGGGGGCGTGGCGAGACACAGGGTTGGGACGGGGACGACGTGCCCAGGGGCTAGGGCCTCCCTAGGGTCCAACCAGCACGCCGCCGCTGCGGGTGGTTGGGCCGGGGCTGGTCCCACGCAGGCTGGCACGCACACGCACACACTCCTGCCACTTGGCTGCACCAGACACACCGCTGCAGGCTAGTTTATGTACCCGTTACGTTGTTACATACACGCGCGTGTAACACTCACGGCAAAGTCCACCAGACTGACATGTAATTCCTGACAAGGCTTAATACTTCCTTTACAACAGGTACACACACTAGACAGCAAGAAGCTCCTCCTCCTCCATAACCAGAGCCAATCATGGCCGAGGCTCTGCCCCCTGGAAACAAGAGTCGCCCTTCCAGTGGCTGTCTATAGTGTAGCTCCGCCTCTTTGTGTACTTCTCTCGTCAATCAACTTTATGACTAGCTCAAGCTCCGCCCCTGTAGTCAGCCTTTGTTGCACCACCGTGGCAACCTCTTAGCAAATTTTTCATTTTACTAATTATTAATCAAGCCACACAAATCCACTTTATGTCAAATAACCAATAGATCTTGTTTTTTTCGCATCTAATAGAAAAGCTGGAAACAGGAGAGACAACTTTCACTTCAATACACAAAGCTGTCGGAAAACATTTAGAAGAGACTTGGCAACTAAATACTCAGGTGGGCGTGGCTCTTCTCTCGTGTAAGCTTTTGACTCTGAATGTATTGGAGTCTCTTTGCTCTTTTCATCAAAACGTAATACAGAAGCGGTTCCATGCAAGCCTGTCCATTTAAGGGGCCTCTCCCTCCCAACACCGCCGAGCGAGATGGGTACCTGCCTTTATACGTAACGTTGCCTTTTGAATATATAATGAGAACCGCCACCGTCTCCCAGACCTTACCTCCATAGTTTTCATAAGTCACCATTGTTTTATCTCTGTGCGCGTTTAATTTTCTGTATATTAAATATTTACTCCTAGTTATTTTTGTGTTCTTTTGTCGTACTTAAAATCGGAACGGTAAGGTATTTTAATTCCTTCGATCATTTGATCTGTGGAACTGTAGACGATAAATCAATAGGATTGTTTACATCGCGTCAGCCATAAGACCCAATTTTCTTTGATCAAAATTAAAGATTCCTGTTTTTGTGGTCCGTCTTTCTGTGATATTAACTTTTACATAATTTACTCCCTGGGACAATCTATCACCCGGACCAGTTCTCAGAGAGGGTGGCTCTCTCTCTACTTATTTATTAACACTTATTTTTTAATGTGATTTACAATATGTTATCAAACCCCTGACTTTCCTGGGGACTAGGGTAATTAACCAATAATGTTGACGTATTAACTCTTAATTGTAATAATTTAGTCACTCATTAATCTGTGTGACTGACTGTAAATTCTTTGTTTTAGAGAAATCCGGTTTGAACCGCTGATAAAATAAATTGTTATTGCTGAGGAGACTATGAAGAATGACGGGAGAGATACTGATGTTGCTACTCGTTGCGGGAGAGATACTGATATTGCTACTGCGGGAGAGATACTGATGTTGCTACTCGTTGCGGGAGAGATACTGATATTGCTACTGCGGGAGAGATACTGATGTTGCTACTCGTTGCGGGAGAGATACTGATGTTACTCACTGCTTTCATATAGAGTGAATTATTAATCACCTGTTTGTGCTAGTATCAGTAACTGCATCTGTAACTGCACTCGTAATTGCTTCCGAATGTGTACCTGTAACTATTTGTAACCACTGTAATTGCACCAGTTACTGCTTGTACCTATACCTACTTGTAAATGCCTTTTTTACCCTATCTGTAAACCGTGCTTGTACTTGTAACTCTACCTTTAACTGTGCTTATTAACGCTAAGCGTGCTTGTAGCTATACTTACAAGAGATGCTAAGCCAATGATGATCCTTTTTAAATCACTTATTCTTTCTAGGCTGGAATACTGCTGTACATTAACATCCCCATTCAAGGCAGGTGAAATTGCAGAGCTAGAGAATGTACAGAGAACCTTTACTGCACGTGTAAGTTCCATCAAACACCTTAACTACTGGGAGCGCCTGGAAGCACTTGACTTGTACTCACTAGAGCGCAGGCGAGAGAGATATATCATAATCTACACCTGGAAGATTCTGGAGGGACTGGTCCCTAATATGCACACAGCAATCACTCCATACGAAAGCAAAAGACTTGGCAGGCGATGCAACATACTCCCAGTGAAAAGTAGGGGCGTCACTGGTACACTAAGAGAAAACACAATAAGTGTCCGGGGCCCAAGACTGTTTAACAGCCTCCCACCAGCAATAAGGGGCATTACGGGAAGACCCCTGGTTGTCTTCAAGAGGGAGCTGGACAGATACCTAAAGACGGTGCCGGATTAGCCGGGCTGTGGTTCGTACGTTGGATTGCGTGCGGCCAGCAGTAACAGCCTCGTTGATCAGGCCCTGATCCACCGGGAGGCCTGGTCGTGGACCGGGCCGCGGGGGCGTTGATCCCCCGAATGCTCTTCAGGTAGACTCCAGGTAGACTGTGCTTGTAACCGTATCCTTTTAACTTAGTGAATGTGCTTGTAACAGTGCAACTGTAACCGTGCTTGTAACTGTAGATTTGCTTGTAACTATGCAACTGTAAAAGCGCTTGTAACTGTACCTGTAGCTGTCCTTGTAACCATGCTTATGCTTGTCCCCTAATAATGTCACAGACAATACAGAAGCCATAGTAAGTAAAATCACAGAACGATTGGGGTTCAAACCATTGGCAGTATTCCTAAACTATCAGGCCGGTGTGTTGAACATTGGATCAGCCGGCTCTGATAGGATTTATCCAAGTTGGTATAGTTCTATTCACCAAAGGGATGTTAGTATGGGTCCCACTGTAACCACAGATGCAAGTTTTAACAGACGAATCGTGCTATTACGGTTCTGTATTCGGAAGACATGGTGGAGATGGCGGCGAGGGAGGCAAACAGGATCGGGGTTAAACTACTGACAGGGGATTTCAATTGCATTCAAATAGACTGGAAGAACGAAGGTTACCCGGAAGCCTCACACCTGGAAGGAACATCTTAAACCTACATACAAAAGAACCACCGAGGAGAAGTAGCGTCACATCAAGGAGACTACTCAAAGATTCAGACATACATTACAATCCAAAATAACAAAATCTTAAGCCAACTGAAAGACCAAAAATAGATATAACTGAAAACGAGGTATGAGAAGAACTTAGTTTCTAAAACATGCACAAAATAGAACAAGACTCAGTACCCGAAAGTAAACGAAAAAGAACAAACAGAACAAAACTAGAAAAATTAGTCACCATAGCTAAGGAACTGAAGAAATTGCTAAGTAACCTAGACAATCATAAAAAGCAAAGGTACTAGACAACATAGATGTTTAACTGATGAAATCATAATTACAAATGTACAACAGATCAACAGAAACAGTTAAACTACCACCTAACAAAAGAGTAAAGGCATTCTCGATATTAAAAAAAAAGTCAAACGGGTATCGCTGAATTACAGGTCAATATATCAGATACGTATTCCGTGCCAAGTGATGGAGAAATGATCATAAAAGAGACTAGTAAAACACCTAGGAAAAAACCGGGGTTTATCTCTGAATAACGGCACGGTTTCAGAGGCGGAACATCATGTCTCATATCTGATGGAAATTTGCAACTGACTCACGGAAAGAGAAGAATTGGCCGACTAAACATTTTATAACTGCGAGGAGGACTTCGACACAGTACCTTCTGAAACAATTACTCATTACATATTTGAAAAATAAGTCATTCCAACGGTAAAGGTAAATTAATTACTAAAGGAATGTCTAAATTCCAGAAAACAGAGAAGCACGATGTGAAACTAAGTGTCGGAGTGAACATTACCTGCAGGGTTCTACAAGGGCTAATCCACGGACTCCTTTTTATTTATTGGTCTACATCAAAGGCCTCTCAGGAGTCTTAGAATCATACAGTCCAAGATAAGATAATGAGAAACGCATCTGAAGGTACTATTTTTTTTAAGACAAACTTGCCCAGTTGCGAAAGCAGTTATAAAAGTGGTTAAATTTAAAATTAAGCAAAATATAAGTAAAAATGGGTGAGTTTGTATGAACAAGCAAATCGTTTCATATGGGTGGTAACAGCTCACAAAATCAAGGAATGGTCAAGATTTGGAAATAAACATTGCGCAGAACCTTTTCCCAGAAGCACTTAGAAGCTGAGTACCATTTGCTAAAAGAGAAAACATAATGCTGGTATTCAGGAACCTAAACAAAGAAATATTCAAGACACAATATACAGCATATGAGGGACCAGTCCAGACATACTGGGCGCCAGTGTGGAGCCCACGTCAAATTAAACACACAAAGTTCAAAGGTTTGGCACACATCTTTTGCTGGGTATGACAGCTAAAAGTTCTCTCGGCCCATATTTCCTTAATTCACGACACTTGAGCAACAGAGAAAGAGGGGACATAATCACAACATAATGGATACTCAAAGAAATAGTATATGACTCAAGAAATCGTAATGACACGATTGCAAACAAACCATACCCCCGGCCGGGATTGAACCCGCGGTCATAGTCTCATAGTGAAGGGACTTGAGCTAGAGTTCGTCACGGCCACGCTAGCTGGAGATTCGTCTGTAAAAAAACTTGCATTTGTGGTCACAGAGGTGCCTGTGCTAACCTTCCTATGGTGTAGAAATATACCTAGTTGGATGAATCTTATTTTGGCTAGCTGGTCTAGTGGCTAACGCGACGGGCTGGAGTTTTGAGACTCTATGACCGCGGGTTCAATCCCGGCCGGGGGTATGGTTTAAATAGTATATAAACACTGGTATGCAATACTCTGAGCACGTGTCTTTATTTCAAGTTTGTTGGTATTAATATACCTAGTACTTGTACCATGCTACACGTGTGTGCCAGCAGAGCCAAAACAGAGAAACTTGAGATTCTCTCTCCAGAGTGAAGAAAAGAGAGATGTCTGATAATATATATAAACACTACTGCTAGAAGTGAGAAATATGGAAGTGTAAAATAGACCTTGTGAAAAGCTGGGGTGCTATATGAACAACAGAACACTGTTAACATTATTGATTCAAGACTGTTCAACCTGCTACTAACAGAGATCAGAAATATTGCTGGAACAAGTGTAGATATCAAGAGCAAATTGGATCACTACCTAAGTCAAATGCCAGATCAACTAGTCTGTTGTAGCTGTGTGGGTTGGAGGACCTACACAGCCCAGGTGGTGGGTAGCATCACCTAGGAATGATAACAGCTGGTTGGAAGAGCAAACTAAATAAGGAGTGGAAAATAAAGTTGAAGTCCGTTCAGGAGGAAAGTGGGTGGCAGTGTGTAAGCAACAGAACAAACAAAAAAGACTAAATTGGCTGAAGAAAAAGCTCCAAGACAAGAAGAGGAATGAACAAACTGAGAGAGAGAATTGAGAAAATGAGAGGGAGGATCGGAGAAGTAGCAAAAATGAAGAAGGAACGAAAGGGTCCATTAAGAATAAATATCGAAAGTCACTAGCAGAGATGTTGTTGGAAGACTGGAAGGCAAAGCAGGTTATAAGGAAGAGAGCAAGGGGATGGTGAAAACAGACAATGCAATGGGAGGAAGAAACGGGAAAATTATTGATGTAGGATCTTCACGCGGCTAAATGGCTGATGGAGTCAGGAAGCAGGATATGGGAAGAACAGGCACATATTATATTGATCATTGGATGTTTAAGTGGATAGCAAGAGATATAATTGGTG